GACCTCATAAGTTTTCCCCCTAGACCTATGATCATCAAAAATACCATTCCTCCAAAAGTTAACAACAATTAAGAATTCTCACCTACCCTTCTCTCAATCACTAGTAATTATACCTACATATATGTACAGGCTATCATTTACTCGTCCCTAGCCTACTCTCCTTTCCTACTAGGTTCCTACTCAAAAGAGGCAAGACTAGGAGGAAGTCTGGCCTGAGAAGCAGTCTTCTTCTTTCCAACAGCAGTAGGGGTGTTTGAGCAGTGAAAGGAATCTGGAGGGTCAGAAGAATTAGAGGAAGTTGAAATAGAAGTAGATAAGATAGAGATGTGTCTAGGTAAACGTATGTTCACTACATTAGGTCATACAACAGGCCCTAAAGATCTAAGAAAATTTGGGGGTAATATTAGGGGCGATAATATAGGGACAGGAGGTGGGACATGGGGTCTTATAAACTGTACTCTAGGAGGAAATGGAAAAATGAGTCTCATGGGTATATGTCCACGGGCCTAGCCCATTTCTATCTAACAAAAAGGTAATAGTGCTAGTGTGGGTGAACTGTTGCTGCTCCCAATCGTGCACCCATCTTCCTTCATGATCATATTTGACTGTGATGCTGAACTGGTACGGTGGTCAGGCCATCTGTGTCCTCACCTACTAAACATATTCACATACAACACACATAACAACTAAAAGGGTGAGACAAACTCATTCCAACCAAAGTACAGTAGAAAACACGTCAAGATATTTACAATCATCATAGCAAATAGCAAACAACTCAACACACAATGTACATGCCATGTATAATTCTGTGCATCACCTAGTTAATCGCTACACTGACACATGCATGTGGGCCCAAACCATTTTTTTCTTTCTTTATGGGAAAGATCAGGAGTTCACTGCCACCAACCATTCTTGGTCATAACTATCTCATCAGATAATTTCAAAGGTATAGCTTAACTGATTCTGAGAATCCATCGGGCTCTGTCAAGATTTGCAGTGTGAACTGACAACACAGGCTGTGAGCCCTAGCCTTTGCCCGGCTCAATCACACCCGACTATCCCTAAGACTAACCTAGAGTCTCCCTTAGATTTCGTATACTTCCCATCCAATGCCACCATCATCACATGCTTATGATGCATGAACCTAATTTCAGTCTTTTAATTAGGTATTAAATATCTCTTTTCAATCAACAACATATGTTTCAAAATTTCACTGACAATCCGGTAGCGTTTTCTCCGTAATTCGGATATTTCCAAATTTTCTTCTCTCTGCAAAACAGCCAGAAAATTCTAATACACTTCAAATTTTAAGCAGAGACTCATCACCACCATATTCCTTAACTTTTCAGCCACTCCAATGGTTCTTAAATACCTTTTCCAATTATCACCACATTTCAAAATACTCATTTAAAATAATACTTTAAAATTAATTAAAATCCTTTAAATTAAACATATATATATGTATATATTTATTTTAAATATACAGAAAACTATTAATTTAAGGGTACAATTTTGAATCAAACCACCTAAATTTAAAGAAGGTAAAAAAAAAATCATTTTCTTAAGAAGAAAAGTAGCCACAATTTCATTCCTCAATTTCTAAAACACTTTTCAGAACTTTTAAAATCCATCAAATTTTACCTCAAATCTTTCCTTTCTTTTTTTTAACATCTTTGTTTCACAAGTCTCCAGTTCTTTTCAATTTTTAACATACATTTTATATGCTCACTCTACATGAATGATAGTTCATTTCTTAAGTATCTCAGACAATCAATTATTATACACCCATCATTCTTAAATATTTACCATTATACATCCAAGATGTCATATCACAAGTTCAATTATTTATATTAAATTCAACAAAAAAATTATCATAGAAACACCATCACACATAAAATCAATCTCAAAAAAGGATATCAAACATTTGTACACTAAGTATGATGATAATTATAAATGCCTTCAAATAATTTGTATGTACATAGCAAGGAATAAAACACTCCTTCTCCTAATGTTTTTATACTATACTCTTGAAAATAGATATGTCCCCCTTTTACCTTGAAGTTTATTTTGATTTTTTCTCAATAATGTCTTCTTTCCACCACTTCTCAAATCGCGATCCTAACCAAATAATCACACATAAAATCATGATCAATGTTAAGAGACATTAATCATCCACCCATCTACTAGTGGGTTGAAACTATCATTTTCTAATTTTTGCAAAAGTGGCTTAAGAGTCCTACAATTGTTTCCTATACTTTAAATGAAATAATATGAGCATAGTAGTAATAAAAAATAATTATTTTCTCCTCTTACACTCTTGAGACAACACCTCTAAAACAAGGATTTTGAACCTCCCAAGTGCATTTTTAGCAAAACAAAAAACATCAAAATCATCTATTATAAACCATAGAAGGATTAAGCTAACTAAAACATAATTTAGAAGCAAAAATTTTGGGCAAAATCTTACCCCTCATGTCACTGTTCCAGCACCCAAAAAGAGGAAGAAAATAAAAAATCAAATCGGTTCAAAGTGTTCAAAATGATAAAAATAGGGGAAATAGTAAAAAAATTTATGAACTTACTTGGAAAATCAAAAGATTAGAGCCAAAGAAATTTAAAACCTTTGAGAGGAGAAGAGGATTCCACGGTAGCTAAGAGAGAAAAATTTAGGTTTTGTGAGTTGATCTTATCTTAAATAGGAAGAAAAGTAATAAAATAATAATATAATAATAGGATTTTTACTAATTTTTTGTAATTAATTGAAACAATTAGATAAAAATCCCAAAATTTAAAAAATAATCACGAAGAAAATTAAACATAATTATAAAATAAGTTTTGACACTCTTGCCCTTCAATTTGTGCAAAAAAAAAATTTCATGCAAATTTCTACTTATGTGGATAATTAATTTACCTAAAACTAACAAAAAAAATAAAAAAAATCAATAATTACCAAAAAAACTATTTTTATACTCCAAATAATGTTTCTAACCAGAATATAATTTTTTAAAAAAAATAAAATGCTATTTTTAGCCTCGTAAAGCAATTTTTAACCAGTACCAATGAACACTTTTTGAAACTTAAAATTTTCAAAATTAAAAATTACTAAAAATTTCTTAAAATTATACCTAATAATTTGGTCTAAATCATCTCATGTTAATTTTATTCTATTTTCCCCAAAAAATTGAGAACTATACTCTAACTTATAATTACATTAACAAATTAACTATTTAGAAAAAATGAGGATGTTACATCTCTTCCCCCCTAAAAGAAATTTTGTCCCCGAAATTTATGTAGCTTAAAAAAAGGTAGGGGTGAGAATCCCCCATCTTGCTCTCTAGCTCCCACGTAGCATCTTCATCATTGGTTCCACTCCATACCACCTTTACAAGCACAATGTCTTTTCCCCGTAGTTGTTTAACTCACTGATCCATAACATGTACAGGCGATGTTTCATAAGTAAGATTGTCTTTCAGTGGCATCGTCTCAAGTTCAAGGACATGGAATGGATCAGAGATATATTTTCTTAGTTGTGAGACATGAGAAACGTTATGGAGATTAGAAAGGAACGGGGTACGGACCAATAAATTTAGGCATCGAGATTTCATAGATCTTCCAACTCCTGTGGTAGGTGTAACTCTAAAAAACACATGGTCGCCTTCTTGAAACTCTAATGGCTTCCTTCTTCTATCATAGTAACTTTTTTGTCTACTTTGTGCTATCCTCATTTTCTCCTGGATTATTTTAATTTTTTTTCGTTGTCAGCTGAATCACCTCAGGTCCCAAAGTCAAATTCTCTCATGTTTCATACCAACATAGAGGTATTCTGCACTTCCAACCATATAACGCTTTAAACAGCGCCATCCCGATATTTGAGTGAAAACAATTGTTATAAGTAAATTCAATCAAATGTAAGAATTGATCCCAGTTGCCTTTATACTCCATTACACAAGCTCTGAAAAGATCTTCAAGCGATTGAATAGTTCTTTCTGATTGTCCATCAGTCTGGGGATGATATGCTGAACTAAATCTGAGCTTTGTTCCCAATGCCTTTTGTAACTTTTCCCAAAATCTTGAAGTAAATATAGGGTCTCTATCTGACACTATGCTTGATGGAACTCCATGCAGTCTTACTACTTCTTTGATATATAACTGAGCCAACTTTTCTAATGAATAACTAACATTAATGGGTAGAAAATGGGCAGATTTGGTCAATCTGTCAATAAATACCCATATTGCATTATGACTTGCAGATGTCCTCGGCAATCCACTCATGAAATCTATTGCAATATTGTCTTATTTCCATTCGAGAATATCCAAAGGTTGTAACATCCCAAAGGGTTTTCAATGTTCAACCTTTACCTTTTGACACACCAAGCAAGATGCCGCATATCCTGCTATGGTTTTCTTCATTCTAGGCCACCAAAATAATTCTTTCAAATCTTGGTACATCTTAGTGGTACCTAGGTGAATACTTAATTTACTCTTATGGACTTCTTCCAAAATCATCTTTTGAAGTTCTTCATTTTATGGAATACAAATTCTAGTTTGGAATCTCAAAATTCCATCAGTACCTTCCTAAAAATCTTTTTCTTTGCCTTGAATCATTAAGGCTTTCTTCTTTTGTATGATTGCATCTTCTTGCTAAACTATGTGAATCTATTCTAAAAATTCACTAGTAACTTTCAATATTCCAAATTTAAGACTCTTTGAAGTAAGTTCCATTACTATATTCAGATCTCTGATCTGTTCCACCAATTCCAATTCCCGGATCATCATAGCTGACACTTGTAAGCATTTTTTGCTTAATGTGTTCACTACAATATTTGCCTTTCTGGGATGGTATTGAAGTTCAAAGTCATAATCTTTTAAGAATTCAATCCATCAATGTTGCCTCATATTCAGTTCCTTCTGGTCAAACAGATATTTAAGACTCTTATGGTCACTAAAAACCTCAAATTTAGCACCATACAAGTAATGTCTTCGAATCTTTAATGCAAAAACTACACAGCAAGCTCCAAATCATGCGTAGGATAATTCAACTCATGCGGTTTCAATTGTCTAGAAGCATAAGCTACTACATTCTTATTCTGCATCAACACACATCCTAATCCTTGCCTTGATGCATCACAATAAACTTCAAAATTCTTATAAAAGTTTGGAAGTATTAATACAGGAGCAGAAGTCAATCTATTCTTCAATTCTTGAAAATTATCCTTGCACTTACTAGTCCACACTAACGGTTGTTCTTTGCGAGTCAACGTAGTCAAAGGCAATGCCAACTTTGAAAATCCTTCAATAAATCTCCAATAATAACCTGTTAATCCTAAGAAACTTCAGATTTTGGTAATTGTTTTTGGCCTAACCCATTGTAAAACAGTTTCAACCATAGAAGGACCTATAGAAATTCCATCTTTACTAATCACATGACCCAAATAACTCACTTTTGTCAACCAGAATTCACACTTAGAAAGTTTGGCATATAACTGTTTCTTTCTTAGGATTTCCAATACCACACAAAGATGTTCCGCATGTTCCTTATGATTCTTGAAATATATTAGAATATCGTCAATAAAAACAACTACAAACTTATCCAAATACGGATGAAAAATCTAATTTATGTAATCCATAAACACTGCAGGTGCATTAGTCACACCAAATGGCATCACTAGGTACTCATAATGCCCATAGCGTGCCTAAAAGCAGTTTTTAAAATGTCCTCTTCTTTCACTCTGATTTGATAGTAACCAAACTTCAAATCAATTTTAGAGAAAATTGTTGTTTCTCATAATTGATCCATCAAATCATTTATTCTTTGTAGTGGATACTTGTTCTTAATAGTCACTTTATTCAATTGACGATAGTCCACACATAACCTCATCGTTCCATCTTTCTTCTTAACTAATAACATTGGACCACCCAAGGGGATACACTTGGACGCACAAATTGTTTCTCCAATAACTCTTTCAGTTGCTTTTTCAATTCAGCTAGTTCCAAAGGTGATATCCAATAAGGTGCTATAGAGATTGGTCCAGTTCCAAGGGTTAAATTTATAGTAAACTTTACTTCTCTTTCTGGAGGTAACCTAGGAATATCCTCCAGAAAAACTTCAGGAAAATCAAAAATAATTGGCAATTCCTTTATCGTAAACTCCTCCCCTTTTAATGAGAGTAACACCATACACATCTGAGCTCCTCCTTTCAAAGAAGCATTGACTTGGTTGGTAGATAGAAATCTCGAATTCTCATGGGGTAGTTTAATAGAGTTAGCAAAGCCTATGGTTTTGTTGTGGCAATCTAGTAGAACACGATTGGCAGACAACCAATCTAGCCCTAGAATGACTTCTAAGTTAGTAAGGGGTAAACAAAACAAATTTACAAAGATATATTTGCCTTCTACTACAATAAGACAATTCAAACAAGCTCTAGCAATAATAATAGAATTACTACTAGGAGTAGAAACAATCAAATCATATGGTAAAACAGTAATAAGTAGATTCAATTGTCTCATACAAACTTCAGAAATATAAGAGTAAGAAGCTCTAGAATCATACAATATATCCAAAGTGTTCCCATTTATGAAACATTTACCCTGTATCATGGTGTTAGATTGAGATGTCTCCTCCCCACTCATTGCAAAAACTCTCCCTTGAGTTCTTGGCCTTCCAACTTGATGGTTGTTCTTATTTTGCTTGCCACCAACTTGACTGTTCTAGTTGTTGTTCTCTCGCTTCATCTCAGGACAATCATGAATGAAATGACCTTGCTTTCTACATCTAAAGCACACGTAGCTCTTCTGTGTACACTCTTGAGCAAAATGCGGTCCTCCACAAGTAAAGCACCGAGTACCATTGTCACCAACTATATTGAAACTCCCGACAAAGTTTTGAAACCTTCCACCGCTTAACGAAGATCCTTGATATCTCTGTGATACTTGATAGGGTTTCCCTCTCCCTTAAGCATCTCCTCTTATATTAGGATGATTCTACTGTGGACCAAAACTCTTCACTGCCCCTATTTTGCCTTCGCATCATCCTCACAAATTCGACATCTATTCACCAAAGTAGGAAAATGAATAATTTCTTAATAGCCAATTGCAAGCTTAATGTATGAACGTAACTCGCTCTCAAACTTAGTGCATTTAGAACAATCATCTCCATTATTGTTAAAGTACGGGCAGAACTTCAACAGCTCATCAAACTTTGTAGCATACTCTCCTATAGTCATACTTCCTTACTTCAAGTTCAGAAATTCAACCTTTTTCCTCCTTAAATCTTTTGAAAAGTATTTCTCCAGAAAATGACACTTAAACGATTCCCAATTAATCTCCCTGCTTTCAGCTTCTATTTGTTGATAAGCATATCTCCACCAGTGTTCTGCCTCACCAACCAACATATATGTTATAAAAATAACCTTGCTTGCCTTCGGCCATTTCATAACGGCAAAAATCTTTTCAAGCTCCTCAATCCACAACTGAGCACCATCTAGATCAAAACCTCCTTTGAACTGCGAGGGGTTATTCTTACAAAAAGCCTCCAATCAATAATACTCGACCAGTTCAGTCTGCCTTTCTAGAACTCCTACCATTCGTTCTAATAATTAGTTCAAGATAGCATTACCTCCTCCTCATCTAGTCATAGATTTCTATCATCGAAAGTTTGATAGACTGTTCTAGAGACATTAGAAGAAGTATCAAATCCCTGAAGATTTATGAAAGGATCGTGAGCTACCAATCTAGGTATCTCAGATCTAAAAGTTTGAGATCTGGAAGAGAAAGATCTCCTCGCAGAGGCAAAATTAGATTCTCTGTTGTAAGCATCAATTCTAGAGGAGAAGGAATTTCTCCTGTTGAAAGTTATTTCAACTTTCCCAGAATTATCTTGAGAAATTTCTTGAATTTGAGATGCAGGTCTAGGAACAGAGAGTTTGACCTTGTACGTAACCCACTTGTCTGGGAGAGTCACTTCATCCCACTTGATGATTCTAGGGAGAGAGACATTAGCATTTGTCATATCTGTGATAAACAAAGTAGTCTCACCTTTCTGAGGTTTTAGGAGGACTCTAAACGCACATAAATTCATAACTTTATACTGAATCCTATAGATTAATGCTACGGGAATATATCCATCTTTCATGTCTAACCCATGAAAGCGAATATTAAGAAACAGAGAGTCAAGAATATTTAAGTCTAAAAGACTCACTGTCTTATTGGGGAAACAGTTGAAGTAAATTGGTCCTTGGCTGAGACTGGTTTCAACTGTTCCTATGAGGGAATCATCAAATCTATTGTGTCTAGTATTAGTAAGACACATTAAAATAGCAACATCTATGCCAGTGTCTATTAAAGGTTTAATTGCTACCCGAACACATCCTATGTGGAGGTATTTGTATTTTTATTTGTGTTCATTTATGGAGTGTTTGGACAAAAGATGAAATTCTTCTCCTATGTCTTGTCCTAAAGGAATATTGTTTTCAACAATCTTAATAATATAATCAGAACTGTTTCTTTTAGATTGATCTTCAAGTACATATAATGCAACCTGAGAGATTTCTGAATAGTCCAATCATCCATACTCTGATTGATCTCTTCGAATCTAACTTCTTCATCAAAGAGGTTTTGTTTGGGTTTGATTTTAGGAGACTGTTTCTCCTGATCAAGCAAAAGTATATTTTTAGCTGGAGAGGAGGAGGATGATGAACTAGAATTGGAACGAAGAAAGATGCGAGAAAATGAGTGGAGTAGACGAGACATCATAAAATAAACTTCTAGTTCATCACCCTCATTTGGTTCCATAAAACTATATATGCTTGGTTGTTTATAACTCTTTCTTCTGGACATGGTTATTGTGGACTTTTATTTATTTATTTTTATACTAAAAAAAATAGAAACATCTTTACCATACTCACCAGCTTCTTACGTTCTTTCTTTCTTTTGAATATAGTATCGACGAATCAACCTTATTGCCCTACACACACACAGACTTACTGCTGCAGCTCTCTTCAAAAGAACTAAGAACTGTTGTACTTCTAGTAGTGATATTTCAGAAAATTGTACAGTATTTCTTAACCATTAATTTCGTGGCTTGTCCAGCCTATAAATCATAGCTTCAAAAATTTCAAAAGAAATTTAAAGTCCAGATCCAGAATAACATAGTTATAAATAACTTAAGCAGTTATATTCCTACTTCTCCATCAGGCTCTGATACCAGAGAACCCGAAGTGGATCAAGGAAAAGGAAAAGATGAAAGGAAAGTAAGCAGTAGCAGGACTACTAAATGAAATGCAGTAAATGAAAAATGCAAAAATTTAAATAGCTGAATTTAAAACATCAGAAACTAGAATAGCGGTAGAACTAGCACGGATCTAGTAAAGGGAGATGGGAGGAAAACCAGATGATGGTAATCCGAACAGAACCGGTGATAAAAGAGAGAGAAAAAAATTACAAGAAACAAGATTTTATCGAAACTTAAAGAAAAAGGCTTACAAAGATCGTGTCTCAAAGCACTTCTCTCTTAGAGTATCTCTCTAAAACTAAGTAAATGAAAGGGTACCTCACAATGTGGTTGATGACTCCTTATATAGAAATTAAAAATACTATTTTTACAATTCCGGTAATATTATAAGAACTATTTCTACAGTACTAATTATAATTCTTAGATGTATATTTTGAAGCAGTCGTCTTTATTTTGATAAAATCATTCAATGTCTTGATAATTCTTCTTTATTGAAGATTTAGCTTCATCTTGTTTTTGAAGGAGTAGAAGGAAGTCTTTTAGATTATCCTTCATTCTTTCTTTTGAACTGCATCCTGATAAAAGGGCTGTAATTCTAGACTACTGATTAAGGAATTGAAATGTTGCTGGGTCAGCAAGCTCTAAATACTCAGAATTTGTTCCAAAGAATTTGTCTACATCAGAAGGTCCAGCATGGTCTGCATTAAACTGATTCTACCATTTAACAAAGGAGTACCTTTGAAGAATGGGCAATATATCTTCACTATCTGTTCTACTATATCGATATTGTCATGAGAATACCCAGGCTAAAGTAAAAGCAGAGAAATATTTAAGAACTACAGGAATTCTTAATTTTTTAGAATAGATACTGATGAAGTGGGCAAATCCTTCTTTTACTGGTGAAGGAAGGATTTCCTCAATTGGATCAAAGAAGTCCCAGTATTGTAGGAACCAATTTGGAATGCTATATTATTTTTTGAGGTCATGAGACCTTTTAATATATATATATATACAGTCATCCAGTCATCTAAACATATACACGTAACTGAATTACATTCAAAATAAAGTAGGGTCACGATATCAAAGACAACAACCAAAAAAATGACTTCACAGGCTTTCTTCCTAGACTCATGATCATCAAAAATATCATTTTCTCCAAAAGTTAACAACGATTAAGGATTCTCACCTACCCTTCTCTCAGTCACTAGTAATTATACTTACATATATGTACAAGTTATCTTTTACTCATCCCTAGAAGGAGGCAAGACTAGGAGGAAGTCTGGCATGAGAAACAGTCCTTTTTCTTTCCAGTAGCAGTAGGGTGTTTAAGCAGTGAGAGGAATCCAGAGAGTCAGAAGAACTAGAGGAAGTCAAAATGGAAGTGAATGAGATAGAGATATGTCTGGGTAGAGGTATGTTCACTACATTGGGTCGTACAAAAGGTGGTACGAGCTTTATTATAAATGTCACGAGGGTCAATTTTTAGAGATTTGTCATAATTAGGAATTTACATAAATTTAAGATAGCTTTATTTTTAAGGTTTTATCTTTTCCTTAGAGGTTTGAGAGAGTTACTTATATCTTTCCAAATTCTCTATGGAATTTTTTTATTATTATTATCATTGTGATGTTGTATTGTTCTATGTTCATATGTGTTTTTAAATTATTATAGGATGAATTCTAGGTAACTTTATGTAAACTTTTTGCTGTTAAATTTTATTTTAATTTTTCTGTACTTTGTAAAGGATTACTTATGTTCTTAATACATCAACTAATTTGGGCCACTTGTATGATTAGAAACTTGTGGTATATATTATCTCTAATTTTAACTTTTAATGGATGATTACTATCTCATTTTTTTCTAAAATGCAATGTATATACTATGTTTTACTTCTACTTAAGCAAAAATAGTTAGATTTTAAAGTATTCCTCCATAACTCAAGCTTAATATTAACCTCTTATTTTAATTCCTCAACTAAAACTATGTCATCCCAAAAGCATGCACCTAGGAATAATCTTTACAAATTACTCATGAGCACATCTAAAATTAGGTTAAACAAGTAAAGGCTCAAGGCAGAGCCTTGATGTAAATCTATCCCTATAGAAAAGTCCGTAGATACACTTCTAAGAGTTCTTACACACAGTTACCCCCTCATACATGTCCTATTTAAAGCATTCAATAACACTTCTTTTAATACACTATCATATGCCTTTTACAAGTCAATAAAAACTATATGTAAGTCTCTTTTACAAAATGTATAGTTTTTGTTGTAAACCTTCCTAACATATAGTCAAATTGGTCTTTTGCAGTCTCAATAGTCTATTCTTCCTAACATAGATTCATAGTATGACTCATAAGTGTGATTCATATGTAGTTTGTATAATTTTAGATATCGTCCTTA